AGCATCTACTAGGCTCCGTGCCTTGGAAGGGTAGGAGCTGGGTTGTGAAGCAAAGGGTGTAAGTTGTGGTATTTGTGTGTGATCTCACCTGTCATTTATACTTGACCTCACTGCTTCAGTTGCGGTTGAGGTCGCAGTAAAACTGAACTCCTAAACCTTTCCCCTATGAAAATAGCTTCTGTCACAAGCTTTCTGTCTTGCAGATGTGGATGGATCCTGTAGATCCATCAGGCTGGAGACTAGATACCTAGTTCTCCTGCCTTGTTCATGCACTCCTGCTCCTGACACCAAACAGAAATACCCAAACATCCCTGCCCCTCAGCACAGTCCCTGCCACACAGTGTTGGTTTTTTAAGGAAAATAATTTACGTATTGTAGTCAGCATGAGTTAGTGTCAGTGGTATGCTAGTAAATGTTTAAAACCTGACTGTTCTTCTAGAATTAAATATGTTCTTATAAAAATGAAACATTTTTTGAAAATTTTACTGAAATAAAGGATGTGTAGCATGCATATTACAAACAGTAAAACATACAGTCTTTTATGTCAGTTCTATAAAGTCAATTGATTTTCATAGCATGTTTATGTTTATTTTTGCCAATTTTTTGTATCCATAGTCAACCTGTGGTTACAACTGACAGATGAATGAGTATTGTTTGATATTTTCATTTACTTTAACTAGAAAGACAAAAATGAAACAATGAAGATACATGTTAGACCCTCATTCATTCTTCCAAGGTGAATTGGATAAATCTTTTTGAATACTGGGGGAATTCGTGCTATTAAAATGTAGCCAGTATAGAAATGACACACTTCAATGTGCATTAGTAATGTCTTCACCATTATTTTCTAAAGAATAGACAATTAACCAACAGCATCATATCTCTGGACATAATCACAACTACCCATTAACTCCAGTGAACAAAGAAATGCTAAAACAAGGACTTTTCATGTGAGAGTGTGAGGCACTGAGTTGGGATAGGAGACTAAACCAGACTATATGTATAATGAAAGTCTCGTGATGGGCAGAAGACGCTATGTACAGACTATAACAATAGACATCTAGTAGTTCTTACTGGAGGACAATCTCCAAAGAGTGGGGGTTTCTAATAAGCAGGCCAAGCACTGAGTCATATGATCTGAATCAAGGGACTATATCCTGACAAAGGTCACTGGTATTTGCAAGGAAGGGACTCCCAGTCTTACAGTACCTTGGGTTACCATTCAGTTTTTGAAAACATGATTGCAGATATCAGAGACAGAAAGAAGGACGCATATTGGGTTTTCAAAATAAAAAGTACACGAATCTGAGTAACATGGAAACTTACATTACCATATGTACAATAGACAGCTAATGGGAATTTACTGTGTGGCTCAGGAAACTCAAACAGGGGCTCTGTGTCAACCTAGAGGGGTGGGCTGGTGAGGGATATGGGATGGAGTTTCAAAAGGAGGGGATGTATATATAGCTATGGATGATTCGTATTGAGGTTTGACAGAAAACAGCAAAATTCTGTAAAGCAATTAGCCGTCAATTAAAAAAAAAACACTTAAAAAAAAAAAGAATAGACAATTAAAAAAAAAAACAAAGTCCTGGTTTGTAGCATTTACCAATTCCCAGAGTGTAAATTCTCCCATCATGGCTGATTTCAGCTACCAGTATGATCCCACTGGACAAGCAGCTGGGGAGAAGTGCACAGTGTTGGACTTAGTCAGAATTTCTACCATATAGACTCAGTACACACAAGCTAGCTAATGGCATAAAGTAGTAAAATAATTAGGATGTGATGAATATTCAGTATTTATTACCTATTTCTTTAATATAGCTGATTTAATTTTATGTAATTTACTTTTTCATAATGATTTCATGATTTTAGTTAACAACTGACATGCAGAATTCCTGAAAATTTAACAGTCTTCTCTCTTAAGCCAGTGTGATCTGGCTTCAGTAATCCAGAATGGCATATGAGTTAGGTTCTATATTGAGTCTTCACATGTTTGCAGAACAGGATGGGCCTACTCTGATTGGTAGATCCTGGATAAGGGACAGTTGCCAGGGCTTCTCTGAGAGTAAGATCAACAGTAAGATCATCCTCAGAGAGCTCCTCTGGGAATTTCATGCTTTGAGATTCACTGTCTTGAATGAGAGGGTCCTGTTAGAATACACTTTGTTTGACTACTTTCTAATGTCTATAGATGATGTATTTGCTTATTTTAAAAATAGGTCTAACAGTTTGTATTCATTGTCTATTTCTGCTTTACATATAACCTAAAATTTAGTAACTTAAAATAAATACCTATCTTCTCATCCAGTTTCTGAGCGTCAGATGTCTGAGAGAGGCTTAGATGAGAGGTTCTGGCTCAGTTCCTCATGAGGTAGCAGTAGAGATGTCAGGTCAAGGCTGCAGTATCTGAAGCCCTGGCTGGTCCCAGAAGAGCTGCTTCTGAGATGACTCCTCATCACAGGGCTGCTTCCCTTGCTGGGCAGACCTTTCCATAGGGCTGCTTGGGTATCCTCACTATATGGCCGCTGCTTCTGCCAGAGCCAGAGATCCCGGACAAACAAGGCTGGAGGCCCTGAGTATTTCCATGACCAGGGCTGAAGTCACACATCATCACTTCAGCTTCATGCTGTTCATTAGAAGTGAATCACAACGTTCAGCCCACTCAAAGAAAGAGAAATTAAGCTACACCTTGTGAAGGGAGCGTGAAAGAATTTATGAACGTATTTCCAACTGCCACATACCATAGCTTTAGATAATGTCAGTTCATTTTGTTATTCTAATTTATGCTTTCAAATTTTACAATTTTTATGTAATTTTTAATAGCTCATTGTGTTTTGTTTTTAGTTCATTGTGTTTTTGTTGTTGTTTTTATAGACATTATGGATTTTAAAAAATACTCACAACCTAAAAGTTGGGAGTTGTGTTTTATTCAGTGGGAATTTTTAGGACTTAAACCTGGGAGCAGCATCTCTGGTAACCCTCAGAGAACTGTTCTGAGGTGGTGAGTGGGCGGGGTGGGGGGGGGCAGGTTATATAGAAGTTTTGCAACAAAGGGTAGGTAGTCACAATATGAAAAGGTGATTTTTTAAAAGAAAACCAGATACCCAAAATTAAGGAATTTAGCACTTTTCTAAGTATGGAAAGTTGCAAGAGTCTGGGCTCCCTGAAATCATTCCTTTGATATGTACACCTCAGTTATCTAGGATCAGTATCCTGAGTTTTCCCACCCTGAGTTTTCCCAGGGCTCACTGTAGGGAGTGGCTATAGTCTGATAGTTGCTGTATGGCAGGTATTCTTTTCCTTCCTGAGTTCCCATCAAGTCTCAACAGCTTACTTTGGAGGGCTGCAGTTACTGATGACTGTGACATTCTTGTTTACTGATATGGCAGGAAATATTTCATTTCTCAACACTGTTATTTTTATTCATCCTAAAGACTTGTTTGTGACTTTTGTCACTAATATTATTCATTGATGTTGTTTATCTGAAACATTTGTTGATTTTATGCTTGAATTCAGAGTTTTCATTTGTACTTATCTTTTTCTATTTTAACTATTATAATCTTTTAATAATTGGATTTATTTTTAACTTCTTATGCTTTCCTTGTTTATCTCTATTAGCCTACTTTCTTGATTTGAAACTTAGAACTATTTTATGTTTTAACTGTTGCAAACTGACCCAATTTAACTACACATGTTCTTATGACAGTTCTCAGGTCTCTGGTAATTATGGCATTATTTAGACATTTCGAGGTGAGTAGGAGCTATGGTTTCCCCACAACTGAAACTGTTGGGTGTTGTTTGGGGGGTTCTAAAGAGCTCCAGTACCATAGTCCTTTATGTCTCAGCACAGAAAAGAATTCGGCAAGAGGCAAAGTGATAAGAAGTGATTCGTTAGAACAGGACACTTGTGAGGTCTACAAGTAGATGGGCAAGGGGGTGCTGTGCCCTGAAAACCTGCTGGGCTACAGTTTTGTAATCAAAGGAAAAACGGGGAGAGGGAAGAGAACTTCTTTGACTTTCTTAAGTAGACGTCATGCTTTCATCATCAACTCCTCCTCCAGGTTGAGCATGGGAGTTTTCTCCCTTCATGGTCAAGCTGGGTTCACAAATTATTGTTTTTTATGTGTGCAGAGAGCATGTCCTCAGGATCATTAACTTGCTGAGCTCACTGGGCAGGATGTGGGTCTCATGCCCCCGTTGTTTTATTGTTTTGGGGCATGTCTCGTGCTTCTGCTATATGGTTTTGTTGCTAAGCAAGCCTGCTTGGTTTTGTGGTTAAGCAAACCTGCTCTCTTGAATAATCATTACCTTACAGGGGTCTTTCATATTTTTTCTACTTACAGTCACCTAGCTGGATTAACTATTTAATCACCTACTTTGTCCCTCTTATACATAGCAACACTAAAGAGTAATATGTTAGGACAAAAGAAGTCTTTGACCAAGTCTGGCCATATCCTTGGGTGGTAAAGATTACCTAGAGAAGGAAATGGCAACCTACTCCAGTATTCTTACCTGGTGAATCCCGTGGACAGAGGAGCCTGGTGGGCTACAGTCCATAGGGTTACAGAGTCAGACAAGACTTAGCGAGCAGGCACAGACACAAAACAGCCGTGTCTTGTCTATAAACTAAGTAAAGATTCCACCTGCTACCATTTCAGCATTGTGCCACACACTTTATAGGAAAGACAGGGGAAGCACACTGACTGAAACTGCCCACCTTGGCCAGGCACCATAGTAACTATTTGCGTGAGTTATTTTATGACAGAAGGTCCCAGGAAGGAACATAGAACTAATGAACCTCCACCAACCAGAAGAGTTCAGGAAAGGTCAAAAGAAGATGCCACATGTCCTCCCACCTCCCAGAATCCTTACTGGCATCCATCTTGGCTGAGCAATGCGTGTGCCACCAGGAAGGACCCTGAGTCAGAATGATTGACCAAAGACAACCTGGAAACTAATCACATTACCATAAAATCCTCGACTGTGAGCCATGTGGCAGTTCAGTTCTCCTGTGCCTGGCTGACGGTGAGGTCCCAGGTGGTGTCACAGAGGTTAACATTATCATTCCTTGGGCTCCAGAAGGCCTGGGGCTATGTACTCCTGGTCATCAAGTAATTAATATCTTCCATTTGTTGGAGGGGGGAGGTTTTTTACATCTGCAAAACAGCTCAGGAAATGTACATTATTATCTAGGTACTTCAGTGGCAAATAGACGGGGAAACAATGGAAACAGTGAGAGACTTTATTTTCTTGGGCTCCAAAATCACTGCAGATGGTAACTGCAGCCATGAAATTAAAAGATGCTTGCTCCTTGGAAGAAAAGCCATGACCACCCTAGACAACATATTATAAAGCAGAGATATTACTTTGCCAACAAAGGTATGTCTAGTAAAAGTTATGGTTTTTCTAGGCATGTATGGATGTGAGAGTTGGACCATAAAGAAGGCTGAACGCCAAAGAATTTATGTTTTTGAACTGTGGTGTTGGAGAAGACTCTTGAAAGTCTGTTGGACAGCAAGGAGATCTAACCAGTCAATCCTAAAGGAAAACAATCCTGAATATTCATTGGAAGCACTGATGCTGAAGCTCCAATAGTTTTGGCCACCTGATGTGAAGAACTGACTCATTGGAAAAGACCCTGATGCTGCGAAAGACTGAAGGCAGAAGGAGAAGGGGATGACAGAGGGAGAGATAATTGGATGGCATCACCAACTCAATGGACGTGAGTTTGAGCAAGATCTGGGAGATGGTGAAGGACACAGAAGCCTGGCATGCTGCAGTCCATGAGTCAGACATGACTGAGCGACTGAACAACAAAGTATTTCAGAGAGGAGGCTTCAGAGGATATGGGGGGAGGCTTGCCTCCCAATCCAAGACCCCTTGGAATCCTTCTTGGCAACAGCTTTCTCTGAGGCTCATCTTGGAGAACAACTTTTTAACAATAAAAGGAATAAAGGTTCAGATAAAAGGAGATTAACTGTGAACTTGACAGAGGTACCCACAGGGTCCTGCTCAGTTACAATAACATAACATTTAAAGTCTTAAATTTATTTTTACCTTACATATTAATCATTTCTGTTATTCTCTTTATTGGGTTCTTTGTGCCTTTAACTTCTCAGTCACTTGCTTTTTATTTGGCACATTTTTAGATTTCACATTTCTTTAATATAGGATTTAACTACCTTTTATTTTTACTATGAGGTTGTTTTTTTTAATCATAGGCAGTAAGCATGGAGAGCGTAGTTCATGCTATAAACTATAGTAATTGAAATGTTTCTTCTTTTCTGTCTTTGTGTCTGACTTTAGAATCTCCTTAGTGGATTAAACAGATTCTCCCAATACCACCACCCTCCATTTCATCCTATTTAACCGTAGAGAGTCACAGATTTAAACATTTGTAGGCCAATAAAGATCCTCCCTTTGTCAAACACTTATTTGAATCATTGAAGTTTTATTATTTGTCATGTTCCACACCTTTTATTGTCTAAATTCTGTAATGTAGTCAGGGTTCTCCAGAGAGACAGAACCAATAGGCTATATATAGATAGATGTAAGGGGAGATTTATTATGGGATTTGGCTCACACAGTTAAGGAGGCTGAGAACTTCTGTTATGCAATCTGCCATCTGAAAGCCAGTGGTGTGATTCAGCCCAAATCTGAGGGCCTGAGAACAAGGAACTCCAATGTGTGAGGGCAAGAGAAGATGAAAGTCATCTCAGAGAGAGCAAGAATTCACCCTTCTCTTCCTCTTTGTTCTATACAGAGACCCAAGGGTTGGCTTATGCCCAACCCCTTTGGTGTGGGCAGATGTCTTTACTCAGGCTGCTGATTCAAATGCTGGTCTCCTCCAGAAACACCTTTACAGACATCACCCAGAAACAGTGCTTTACCAGTGATATGGGCATCCCTTAGCCCAATCAAGTTGACACATAGTTAACCATCCCAGTCACCAAATTGCAGGTAACTATACACTCAGGGAAAGAATACTGTCTTGATCAGAATGGACTATGTTCTGCTGCAGTAAACCCCAGAATCTCAGAATGTCAGTGATGTCTCCTTGCTTGCTGAGTCCTTTTGATGCTGCTGGTCTCTTGACCAAAGGGAAAGAGAGTTCTGTGGAGGGTTTCACGCTAAACATTATTTATATGCTCTTGCTGGAAATGACATGTGTTAGTCCTCACAACTCATTGACCCCAGGAGCCTCCTGCCCCCAGCCACAGGTGAGCCAGACAGAGCCATCTTGGCAGGTATCTGGAAGCTGGAGAATTGGAGATGCTTGGCAAAGACACAATGTCTACCTCAAGTACCCTCCTATGGTGTCATTAGGGTTAAAAACAACTTGCAAAAATACATTGCTGCTGCTGCTAAGTCACTTCAGTCGTGTCCAACTCTGTGCGACCCCATAGATGGCAGCCCACCAGGCTCCCCCATCCCTGGGATTCTCCAGGCAAGAACACTGGAGTGGGTTGCCATTTTCTTCTCCAGCAAAAATACATTAGTGAATAGTAATTACAATGTCAGTATTGGTGCTGGCAGTACTTGCAAAAGGAGAAGGGGGTGGCAGAGAAGGAGACAGTTAGATAGTGTTACCAACTCAATAGACATGAATTTGAGCAAACTCTGGGAGATAGTGAAGAACAGGGAAGTTTGGCGTGCTGCAGTTTATGGGGGGTCGCAAAGAGTCAGACACAACTTAGCGACTGAATAACGAAACTGGTGCTTTTATTTATTTATTTTTATTGACCGCACTATGTGGCATGTAGGATCTTAGTTCCCTAACCAGCAATGGAACCTGTGCCTTCTGTGTTGGAAGAGCAAAGTCTTAACCACTGAACCATTGGGAAGTCCCAGTACTGGTGGTTTTAAACTGTCTACCTTTAAACTACTCTTGGAATTAATAAAAACTGTCTCCTCTGTCAAACATCTGGAATGGTGCCCACAGTGTGATGAGCCCTCAGCTAACCACACCACTCATGTCCCCTCCCACTGGTTGAGTTAAATGCTTCCAAAGAGTCAGTTGTATATTCTCCCAAACTTGCTTATGCCAGTTATGCTTATTTGTTATAATTACATAATTCAGTTAAATAGTACATAATATTATAAAATATGAGGGCAGAAAGAAGCATGGATAGATTCCTTTAAAAACTGCCACTGACATATGTAAAGGCTACATCAGTGCTAATCAGATTTTAATATACATACAAATCACCCAGAGATGGTGTTAGAAGGCAGATCTGATTCTGCAGGCCTGGATGGGGCCTGAGACCTTGCATTTCCAACTAGCTCTCAGTTGATGGTGATACTGCTAGTCCACAGATGACCCTGTTAAAAGAAAATTCTGAGACAGTTACAAAAGCTAATTGGAACTTCATTAAAATCCAGAAGGATATGGCTTTCAGGTTGCTCTGCTTGTGTTTGACGTTTTCTACAATCTTGCCCCACTTTAAGGAAGCTGGACGTGGGGAGCATGCATGGAAGTGAAACCATTAGGTTGTGTTTTGGGGAACTCAGAAGAGCACCAATCCTTTATGTCTCAGCATAGAAAGAATTCAGCAAGAGACAAATTGATAGATAAGAAGTGATTTATTAGAGTAGGATGCTTGTGAGGCTTAGAAGAGGGCTAGCGAGAGAGTGCTGCAGCAAGAACTTAGTGGACTATAGTTTTATAATCAAAGGAAAAGGGGAAGGGAGAAGACCACTTTCTTCCTCACTTTTGGGTAGATTATATCATGCTTCCATCATCATTTCTTCCTCCGTGTAGGCAGGGGAGTTTTCTTGTCCCTCCATGGTCAAATTGGAATGTCATTGGCACTATGGAAAAATTATTTCAGGTTTCAGTACAATGAGGTTCTTTCACCTTGAAATGTCACCTTTCCATAAATTATTGTTTTTTGTGTGTGCAGAGAGTGTGTCCTAAGGGTCATTAACTTACTAAGCTCCCTGGGCAGGATGTGGGTCTCATGCCACCAGTGTTTTATTGTTTGGGGGCATAACTCATTCTTGTGCTGCATGGCTGGTTGCTAAGCAAGCCTGCTTGGTTTTGTGGTTAAGCGAACCTGTTTCCTAAAGTGATCATTAACTTACCGAGGTCTTCCAGATTTTTTCTACTTACAGTTCCCTAGTAGGATTGACTATTTAATTACCTACTTTGTCCCTTTACTCTGTCCCCCTCAGAAGTTGCATGAGCGTTGCAACAGAGTTGCTCAGAGTTGCAACCTGTGTCACAAAGGTTGTGTGAACCCCGCTCTGGAGAAATAGTCAAAGAAAAGACCTTGACCCAATTTGCAAAAGTAGACATTTGTGGTTAGGAGTGCAAGTTTCTGGTGCTTTTTTATTGTTTTTAAGTAATTCCCTACTCAAAGCACTTTTCCCACTGACAGTTATATTGGAGAAGAAGGCTAGTTCCATATTACATGGAGTGTGTGGTTTTACAAGGCTAGTTCCATATTACAGGAATTTTTAGGACTTCAGACCCTGGAGGCAGCATCTCAAGAAACCCTGAAAGAATTCCAAGAAGGCAAGGTGGGGAACCAGATTATAGAAAAGTTTTGCAACAATGGACAGGTAGCCTGAATGTCAAAAAATTATTGTTAATTAAAGAAAACCACATATCCCAAGTGAGCAGTTTTCTGTATATGGGAAGATAGTAGAGTCTGGACTCACTGAAATCATTCCTTGATATGCACCCGCACCTCAGCTACCATCAAGGGCTGGTATCCTTTGTTTTCACACCCTGAGTTCCTCAGGGCTCACCTCGGGGAATGGCTGCTGTCTCAAGCTGCTCCACGGCGGGTCTTCGTTTCCTCCGTGAGTTCTTTCAGGTCTCGTCATCTCCTGTTGGAACGCTGCAACTGCTGATGATTGTGACATCCTTGGTTTACTGACATGGCAGGCAAAATTCCATTTCTATTTACCAGTGAAAGTCACTAACACTTTTCACAATTAACCAGGCTCCAAGCAGAAGCATCTGAAAATTCCAGCCAAGGCTACCTCATTGCTAAGTTTCCTGGATACCTTTTATATAGAATGTGATAGCAGACCTGCAGCATATCTTGAACCTTGGTGTTTTTTTTTTGTTTAGTGCTTTGTTTTCTAATGCAGGGAAGATTATTAACTGTGGTAGATATTCAACACTTCAGAATTATTCTGGGGAGAGAAGCAGCTGAGCTAAGTGGATTCAAAGTAAATAATCCTCTTCACTCTGATATTGCCTCCACTCAACCATGGTCATTGGTGAGGAAATGTATTTTACAGGGAAAGGGGAGGGAGAATTTCTTCATGGTATGATTAAATCCTGATAAGCTTGAGTGATTTTCAAAAGAATAATGACAATGAAATATATTAGTGTGGGGGAATCATGGGTTGAGAATTATTTCTCATAAAGTATCCAGTTAGTCAGTGATGTATTTACAACAAGAATAATTTCAGGTCCTCATCTTCTAGAGTCTGTCCAAGGACCAAAGAGCTTGTAGCTGTAGGATAAACTGAGAAATGGCCCCTCTACCAGCCATCCCAACTGGGGCAGTCTCATGGTTTACAGATAAACTCGTCTGTACATACATCCTTTCCCCACAATTCTTACCCTCCATATTCTAAACTCTGCTCTACCTTGTTTAATTCCATTAAGTTTGTAAAGGAGTATTCTACACAAACTATTTATTTATTCCTGATCTAGGTCCAGTCTTGGTTTTTGACTGCTGATAGGTTCCCTGGGTGAATTAACATTAAATCTCAAACTAGAGTCTATGTCAAGTATCATTCTTTATTTTTGTAAATTTTTATTGGAGTAGAGTTGCTTTACAATGTTGTGTTAGTTTCTACTCTACGGCAAAGTGAATCAGCTACATTATATCCCCTCTTTCTTTGGAGTTTCTTCCTATTTAGGTCACCATGGAGCTCTGAGTAGAGTTCTCTGAGCCTTACAGTATGTTTTTATTAATTATCTGTTTTATACATAGTATCAATAGTGTATATATGTTGATCCCAATCTCCTATTCTTCTTGAGACCAGACTGGAGGAAAACATTTCCCTTTCCATGTGCATGCTGAGTAGGACCTCCATGCAAGTACCTACCAGGCAAGACTGGAGGAGGGGGAGAAGGTGGGAAATGGGTGATTGATGTCAGGGGTGACCTAGCTGTCGGCTCTTGACTCCGTCTGTCCATCCATTCCTAGCTTTGACTAACATTTACGTTTGTGCCAAAAAGTTCATCTGGGTTTTTCCATAAGGTCTTACAGAAAAACCCGAATGAACTTGAACAATAATGGAACAATATATTCCATTTTCTATGTATTTTTAGCATTATGGGTTTCTAACTTACTGTCAGTATATAGCACATGCTATGATTTTTGTCCATGCCTCGAAGGCCACTTGCTTATTCATCATCTATACTTAACCTGTACTGAGTCTATCCAGTGGCTCACAAGCCACTTGCTAAGTCACTTCCTATGCCTTATATTGCTTATGCGTGTCATCGTTTTATTTGCTTTTCTTGTCTCTTTAGCTGAGTTGAATAGTCTCAAAAGATACAGCAGATTCATATAATGCAGTAAAATAGGAGGACTGATGGGAAAATACAATGAGAAAAATGCATTTTTGATGGCTTAGCCTAAAATTGCTGCTGCTTTAACAAATGGTACATTACTGAAGATTCTCTTTAAAGAAGTTCTTCAACTAATTCTCCTGATTGTACATTATTCATTTTAAGAAATTGGAAAATACAGAAAAGTATAAAAAAAGAAATGAAAATCATCCTTGATACCACCACCTTGTGGTAATCAATGGCAACATTTTGGCGTGCTGTATTTTTTTAGTCTTATTTTAGTAGGCATCTTTCCTCAGCTGTTAAGATTTTACATTTTTTTCTGTATTTTGACTTTCCCCTAGATATTACAATATACAACATGTACATCTTCCTACCATTAATTCATTTAATGGTGCAGAAAGATCTAAGAGTTTGTAACTCAGTGAATCATGTCCTTCTTTTCAGATTTATTGAGTGTTTCGGGTTTTCTATAATGTATGTAGCCCTGCCTGAATGGATTTATGCATAAGGCTTTTTCCTCTCATACTATTTATGAAGAATGGTGGTAGGACAACTATTTGAAAAGAACTAACATTTTTAAGGCTTTAGAGATATGGAAAAATTAGATTCCATTAGGGTTGTTTCTGCTTGTATACCCATGTTTCCTAAAGCTTGAAAGGTTGGGTTGAGGATATAGTCTAATTTCTGCATTTATTGGGAATTTAATCTTGTGTTAAATGCTGACCTAACATGAGATTTTCTGTCTTTAAGAATTTGGGGGAAAAAAAAGAATTTGGGGTACTCTGTCATTCTCCAATCAGAAGTAGTATATGAAACACTTTCCTTGATTCAGTTCAGTTCAGTCACTCAGTCGTGTCCAACTCTTTGTGACCCCATGAATCACAGCACTCCAGGCCTCCCTGTCCATCACAAACTCCCGGAGTTTACTCAAAACCATGCCCATCGAGTCGGTGATGCCATCCAGCCATCTCATCCTCTGTTGTCCCCTTCTCCTCCTGCCCCCAAACCCTCCCAGCATCACGGTCTTTTCCAATGAGTCAACTCTTCACATGAGGTGGCCAAAGTATTAGAGTTTCAGCTTCAGCATCAGTCCTTCCAATGAACACCCAGGACTGATCTCCTTTAGGATGGACTGGTTGGATCTCCTTGCAGTCCAAGGGACTCTCA